TTTGATTAATTGTTCTAATTCTCGTTGCAGTGCCCTCGAATCATTGATAAACAACGTAAACTCAATTTACATAAACCAATATTTTCTGGTGTTACTATATCCGCCGAAATTCCCTTTCCTCAGGAACGAAAAATCTATTATACCATAAATTAAGTCAAACAATTGCCTAAAATTGTTGTAAACTAAATTTCATGGGAGGACTTATTTTAAAGGAGACTAAGATTTCAGCAGAGCATATAATACATGATATATGATTTAACGAATTTAAGTATCGTTAAATTTATACAAGTCGCTACTGCGTGTTATAGGTAAATGTATGTGATGCTATGTAATTGATGTATGTAATGTTGACTCGTCTTTAAATAATTTCCCAGATCGAAAATATTTTAGTCAAAAAAGCTAGCTGAATAAATTTAAAAAAATTAAATGATATGGAAAAATGGTCTTAAAAATACGACTAATATTGTTGTTGACTTGAAATTAACAAAATTTGTGACTTATATTATGGTAACCATAATATTTATGGGAACCAAAGTTATTGTGAACCAAATTTTTTCAGGCATGGTGGGCTGAACATGGAGCTACCGAAAGCTGCGAATCATTTAGAAATAAACTCAAATGCAGCAGACAGACAGAAGCATTAGTTTGAGTTAAGTTGTAAAGCTTCTTTAAACTTTTTCATCACAAAGAGAAATTTGTGTTAAATAGTAGTGGTAAATTTAAAGGGCGTGTTGGTAGACCTAATACAAACTTATATCAAATATGCTTGTTGATGACCTTAAATATAGAAACTTAGAACTTAGAAATTTGAGTGATTTAAATGAAATAAGGGATATTGCTAGCTGTAGGAAGTGTTGGAAACTGTTGTACTAGGCACAGATTACGTAGTTAAGATGTTTTCTTAATGGAGTTCTATTAACTATGTATGATCCTGTTTTATAATAAGATTATTTGTATAGAGTCGTATATAATAATGTTTCTTCTTAGACTGCCAGAGAGCACAGAAGATGGCTACTAGACAGCTAAAATCGATACTTTACGAGCCACCAGGGGATGCCTTTTTTCGATGGATAAAGTAAGTGCACCGACTTTTGACGCTTAAAAAAGTAAAAAGGACTTTTCACAGAGATATTTTGGTACCATCTTATGATGGCCTCTCATATGTATCTTTCGCCTTTCGGATCAATTTATTCCGGTCAACAAAGTTTCCTACTCCAGGCCATTAAATTGCTCCGTCAAAAACGCTATTATACCGGAGTTTTATTATAGTCAGGAGTTGGACGTTTTTCTGTACGCTTAGCTTGTCAATCTATGGTGTAGTTACCGTATAATATAAATGCTGTGAACACATTTTTCACTTGCTCGTTGACGAGGGTCACGTGATGGTAGGCGAATTTGTCAAGTTTATACGACTATTGTAATTGTACAATAAAATATTTATATTTTTGTATCCTTGTATCCGTGACCTCTGACAGGACACCGGTCATCTCGCCCAATTTTCCCGGGAGAATCAGATCTCATGTCAACTAGCGCGTGATCATCCCGGCCTGGGTGGTCCACTTGTAATGTTGTCAAACGGGAACCTCGGCCTCGCACATCTGGTAGTGAAGTACTGATTACAGCTGCAGGTCCTCCAAATTCACGAAGTCCAACAAGTCCTTGTATGAGCCATCAGTGTAAATCACGGTACTTTTCTAATCATAATCGCTTAGCTTGGCATCATTCAATGGACATTTGTTGTTCAAAAGAAGAAAAGTCAAAAATGAGAGTGAACGGTGACTGCTTATTGCATAAGCTCTTAAATCTGCTAACCGTACATAGCTCACGCAGCTGTCTACAGTTGCTGGGCTCGTTCCGGGTCAGAAATTTAAAGTTTACTGCGGCGTGGGGCTACATCGTCGTTCTGCTGTCGTGTACATTTAAGAATGTGGTGTGGAAAGAGTTCTGACTTTTCCTGGAGTAAAGATATATGTCGGCCGTCTTTGTCACGGAGAAGTCTTTAAAGCTTTAAAGCTCTGAGCTTGACCTATTAAAAGACAAAAGATACATTTGCACGTCACGAGTAATGTGACCTACTGAAAAAAAATCGGGCAATTTGAAAATTTAGTCAAGTTCACACATGCACAATCAACCCCTCATTGGTGTGATCCTCTGATCCGGGAAATCGAGATGTCCTCTCACAAACAACAGTTATTAGTAACAAGCATAACACGATTTTCCAATCTATTAACGAAGTTTGAGCATTTAGGGTCAAAGCAGAGACTTGGGTCGATGTGAATCGGCTTAAAAATAACAAATTTGGGGTATCTTTATTTTACATCTTGGTCGAGACCTGTCACCAGCAATATGATTTCATGTTGCCTTATTCAGGCGGGCGAAACTCACGTTACATGCGATCTGATCATCTGACTCTCACGATCGAGATCGGTAGCTTTAACTCACCAGCTCCAACACGGTTTTTTAGACTTTTTTCGGTTTTTCGAGCTGCCCTTCTCCCCTGAGGCCACGATGAAAAACATACAATATATTATATCTTTATTCTTTATATGTTACATGCATTCCCCTGCAGTAGTGAAAAGTAAATTGTTTGTTTTATTTCAGTGTCGACAGCTCAAACTATGGTGGTATCTTATCGCTACAATGCTGCTAACTAGACTCTTGGATGAAGTTAAGTTGTTTTAGTCAGATGATCTACTTTTTGGCGTTTCCTACTGCCCTAGTTATAGTAGTTCAAGGTTTAACTGTAAATATAGTGTTAAGTAAGTTTCAATACTTCCCTGCCACCTTTTCAGACATTGCAGAGATGTGTGACCGCACAATTCTCAAACCGAAGAATCAAAAGGAGTTATTGATTTATCGGTATATAAAGTATGTATGCTTTATCAAACAAAGCCACTAGGTAAGCAAATTCAAATATTTTGACAGTTCATACTGCGGTTATACATTGCAGCCAATGCGCAGCAAACAAGAGCTTGCCACTGCTATAAGCATTCGTATTCGTAGCTTGTTTGAATCTCAAATTTATTCGAATTATCATAAGTAGCCGGAAGCCCGTCCTGCGGACGGAGTTCTTCAGCACAAAATCGATTCTCAAACATTTTAAATCTACCCTTTCTCATTTCTACTTCTTTTCCTTTCACAATTTTCATGTTTTTAAAAAACTTTTTACCCCTATCCATGTCACCTATGATTCATGCATTTCTAGCTTCTCGGACAGTGCTGTCTTTTCCCTCATTGGCAAATCCTGAAAGTTTTATGAAAAATATAGATCAGAGTTATGTTTGTTCTGCACGTCTGCATTTCAGGTATTCGTGACACAGTTTACGTGTGATGACGTGGGCATCTCTCAACACACTTTGCAGCATGAGTGACGGTGCCGTGGCGGGATATCTGGAAATGTAGCCTTGAGCTCAGTTTATTTTTCTCCGTCACCTCACCCGGGGGAGGGGGGGGGGGAGCCAATGACTTTGGGTACTTTGGGGACAAGTGCAGAATTTCGCCAGCAATTTAACCTCAAGTCTCCAAGATTTTTAGCCCCCAAAAGTCTCCTTTAGAAGTCATTTAATAAAAGATAATATCAAAACTACATAAAACTCGCCAAAACTTTGGGTACTTATGGGGACAAATGGAAAATTTCACCAGCGATTTGACCTTCAGTCCCTATGATTTTCGTCCCCATTGGTGCTCAAAAGTCTCCATCAGTAGTCATTGCCCCCCCCCCCCCCCCCCCCCCTCATCCTGTGTCGGCTGTATTCAATTCTGATTGTACCACGGTTAAAAAATGCCAGTTAAATGTACCAACTCTCGTTTTATTTATTGTACCGACTCTCGCTCTTCGACCACGCTTTTCGTCTACTTGGCGTAGGGCGCGGTAATATTTCATGTAATCACGCACACACGTATCGCGCGCGATGTAGAAATAAGTGCAGCGCACATGGTCTTGTGGGTGACCCCCGTAATCCATGTGGTGGGGCAGGAGGGTCAAGCACTGTTTTTGTGGGTGACCCCCGTAATCCATGTGGTGGGGCAGGAGGGTCAAGCACTGTTTTTTCTGAAATGAACCTCCTGATCCATGTGGTGGGGCAGGAGGGTCAAGCACTGTTTCTGAAATGAACCTCCTGATCCATGCGGTGGGGCAGGAGGGTCAAGCAATGTTCTTTTCAGGTTGACCCTCCTGCGCCATTATAATTACAGTATTAGGTCCGGGATCATGTTCAAATAATAAGTTTTGCTGTTTTTCCTCTACAGATTTTTTTCATATGAACAGCTGGCACAAAAATACAATAAACGCTCGTGTATCAATTAGTCGTCGAGTATTATTTTATGCACGATCGACAAATTTTCCACCGTGAGGCCAGGTCGGCAGTGCAGTTCGCGCGGTCGTACTTGTAGGTGGAATTGGATGGCGCGGGCTAGACCGGATTTAAAAAGTCTGACCGAATTTGACACTCAGAATTTGACAGTCTGACCGAATGTTTGACCAGTGACCAATCAGTGAGGACAGTGTGAGTGTGACTGACAAGTCGAGGTACTAGAAGCTGCGTTAAACATTGTAGCGCGTTGCACTACTGGGTCGCGCGCGCATCAAATAATGCTTCTCGCAACCTTCTCTTCGGTAGATCGGCGAGATGCACCACTGTGCCTCACCGAGCTGCGAAGGATTGACATCGTGAATCAACGTTAAACAATAAATGCATGTTGTACTGTTGTACTGTTGTAGTACACGCGCTCAAAAAGCCTCCTTTCTACTTGTAGAACTATAAGCGAATCTTGAGGACTCCTCAACAAGACATTACAGCAGAACGGCTAGACTTCAACCTGTCATCCAGATTCCAGATAGAATGTGGATTGTGCCGTTCACAGTTCATTGTCCTCTAATTATAAACGGTTTATCAGCACATGGCAACATCACATAATTTCTGTTGTGATGCTGATCAAAATATCGGTAACAAACCTTGTCGTTACCGAAGAACAAGAAAATTGAAAACACAAATATTTTTAGTCGAATCAGTTCTCAAATTCAAAAACATAACAAATGGCATGCATAAATATACATCATACTACTGTTTCTGGTGAAAAATGGATTTTAAAATACATTCTGATAACTTCAAGCTAGCAGCGGTGTCTTTCGTCCTTTTCACAATTTACAGCGCTAATTATAACAGTGTAAGTTTCTATAGACTAATCTATCATTCAGGTTGTACCCCTTTTATGAATAATGATACATAAACAGACTGACACCGCCATTCACTATTTTTGAGCCGCTACATTTGCATCTTGAACTTGAAAAGCAGCCTTATTAAGGCAGTCAGTGTAAGATAAAACAATTGGGAAGGGTCTCCCGCTCTGTCCTCACAAAAGGGGCCCAATAAGTGAATAATATCGCTAATTGAATAATAACACTAATTGAACTGTAGATTCAACTCACACTGTAATTATCACTGTTAAGATCGTGCCGGTAAACAATTATGCGGTCACTAATCATTGTCATCAAAGGAATAATTAGGGCTATAATCATTTTAATAGCCTGGTTCGGGGAACTTCATGTTTATGAGCTGTTTCGTCTATATCAGCTATTAGGATAATTACCAAATTTTACGATGAATATGTAACGTTTTGCAAGCTTCAGTAACTTTGTATTAGTGTACAGTGTCAGTTAGCAATTCGTTCTATTTAGATTATGTCCGCTGAATCTGGTGTTGCTCCTGCGTGGCCCCTAGTTTAAACATCCTATGTTTATTTATGATATTCATTTATTTTCTTATATGCTTTCTTATATGCTTTGACACACTGCTAGCTTGCTTTAACTTGCGAATTTTTATTGTATATACTTTAAATTGTATCATGTCATTATTACACTGTAAGTTAATATGATCCAGGTATATCTGAACCAGTCGTTTAATCTTGAAATTATATCAACTTGAAATATTTTTATCTGTCCGACATAAAAAGCTACAAAAAAGATCGCAAAAAAAGGGATACGGAATACAAAATCGGTCAAAATTAAGTTCACATAGGACATCAAGGTGTTACTAGATCAGGATTAAATGAGAATAAGAATAGAAAATGGTGCAGCCTGGTAAAGAGAAGCTAAATGTTTATATTACACGGGGTATCACGGCTGATTAAAATTAAAATTAACAAATATCAAAATTTATTACAACAAGAATTTACAAACATGCTATTCATTTAACTAAACTAATCTCTGAATTATATGACAATAATCTACAAGTCAATAAAACTTTCCTATACTTTAACGGTTCAGGGTACTAAATCTTTTCTGATAAGTTAATAAATTCATAAAACCTTCATTGCACCAACGTCCAACAACCTACTTTGATACTCAATATAACATAGGTCGGCTCAAATTAAGAAATTAAGGTTGTCAAGATTACCATAACGATTTGCACGGTCCCACATAAATTGTAATAACAATCATGTAACCGCAATAAACTCGACCTCAAATTTAGTGTCACCCTGTTGCTGCTTGTGGGTATATGAATGCAGTAATTAAATTCTTGTTAACGTTCGTGTACTTGTGCTGTACTCTGCTTTCAACTTTAGATTCTTGCTTCAAGTAAACATTGTCAACTATTGATTTAAAAAGCCAAATGTTTCCAACTGCAAACGTAATAATTAAAATGAACCAGCAGTTTAGTTTTCAAGTCATATTATTTCGAAGATCACAAATTCGAGGTGTCTTGATGTTGCCCCAACCAGTGAGACTAAGGTGACTAAATGTGACTGCCGGGGGATACGTCGATGGGTTGTAACTCCTTGAGAAGGTAAACGAGGGTGTCGGGGAGATGGTCTGTTAACATCTCCGGAGATACAGGTATGGTGTCGAACACGTTGTTTGGTGCGGAGAGTACGTCGTAATGTGCTCCGCTGTACGAGCTGCAGCAACTGAGGGGAGCAGATTTATAATGAATGACAGAGAGGCAGGGTTATTGGGGGAATAGAGATATTCTTGTCTTTAGATAAACCTCATCAAAGTATTAAAGTTAACATGTGAGAGAGGGGTTTTCCGAGTCTGTCATGATTACAGAACAATAGAATCTGTTCGTAAGGATCTAATCTTGTACTTGACAGACTCAAGTTGAGGCCCATTACATATCATTTTAGTGTCAGCATGAGTCGGAAGATAAGTAAGTCAAAAACTTTTTTCATCCAGACCATATTTTTATCACGTAGATAAGTTATTTTTGTTAATCTTACTAATACTTACATTAAAATAACGTACAGGCCAATGTTCTTCATTCAAAGTCACGTTACGTAGCTAACAAACCGTAATGTCATGTGTATTGAGGTGCTGCCCAGATAAACTGAGCCCTCAACAGTCAGCCGTCTCAATTTACTGTTCAACACATATTTTAATACTTTCAACACTACTAGTCAACAAATAATTTGAGGAAACGATGTAACAGAGTCGATATATTTAAATGTTGCCATGGAGTGGCAGTTTCATTGCGTCTTAATATACGCTCTTTCTGTCCGGCTCCTAATAGACGACGGGGCTGTTGTTTTTAAGATTTGAAATATTGCAATCCCCAAAAACGGGATCATTATTGTTAAGGTAGTGCGAACTTTTGGAACATTTTTATACACAGATATCAGTGTCAGTATCCTTTTCAGATTTTCTATGACCGCTAAATTGGCGGAATTGTATTTTGCTGATTGTAATTGCCTTTTGAAAATACTATTCGTGTCACCGCGTCCCGTCTCAATTGCAGTATCCTCGAAGTCTGATGCATTTTTACGATGTTCTTTCAAGGCCAATTACTGATCTATCTTAAAAGTTAAGGTGGTGGCATTCCAAATTCTAATAAAGGGAAAGCCATCCTGTCAGATTCCTAAAAGAAGAAATCAGAAACTTTTTCGTATCGGCCCAGTATTTCATGGATATATCCTAATTGTTGTAATGCTGTATTAGGATATCAACTATTTTAGTTCATTCATTACTGTTTAAGTCCCGTACCGCAGTTTCTGAAATTGATTATTCCTTAAACCGTTGTCAAGACAACAAGTAGTTTGACCGTGAGTTTATTTTGAGCTAAAATTGCTTTATTAGCCTTGCTTACGTTTGAGTTGATACTTTGTTCCTTAGTTACCTTGTTTACCTTATACTCTTATAGTAACTTGAGCCTTTATTTTCGTTGAATCCTCGATGTTTTGTATCAATTTTCACAGTATTATCGGTAAAATCTTAACAAAAAGAGCGCTTATTTTAATTGTATTAATGGCTAGATTTTCATCTGTAAAATATAAACGGTAACCAAACTTAAAACCTGTATAAAGCCTGCTAGGCCTATATCTCGTTTCTGTATGTTGAACTAACCTGGCCTGTATCTCGTTTCTGTGTGTTGAACTAACCTGGCTTGTATCTCGTTTTTGTGTTTTGAACTAACCTGGCCTGTATCTCGTTTCTGTGTGTTGAACTAACCTGGCTTGTATCTCGTTTCTGAGTGTTGAACTAACCTGGCTTGTATTTCGTTTCTGTGTGTTGAACTAACCTGGCCTGTATCTCGTTTCTGTGTGTTTAACTGACTAACCTGGCCTGTATCTCGTTTCTATGTGTTGAACTAACCTACCTTGTATCTCGTTTCTGAGTGTTGAACAGACCTGGCTTGTATCTCGTTTCTGTGTATTGAAATAAGCTGGCTTGTATCTCGTTTCTGAGTGTTGAACTAACCTGGTCTGTATCTCGTTTCTGTGTGTTGAACTAACATGGCTTGTATCTCGTTTCTGAGTGTTGAACTAACATGGCTTGTATCTCGTTTCTGAGTGTTGAACTAACCTGTCCTGTAACTCGTTTCTGAGTGTTGAACAGACCTGGCTTGTATCTCGTTTCTGTGTATTGAAATAAGCTGGCTTGTATCTCGTTTCTGAGTGTTGAACTAACCTGGTCTGTATCTCGTTTCTGTGTGTTGAACTAACCTGGCTTGTATCTCGTTTCTGAGTGTTGAACTAACCTGGCCTGTATCTCGTTTCTGTGTGTTGAACTAACTAACCTGGCTTGTATCTCGTTTCTGTGTTGAACTAACCTGTCCTGTAACTCGTTTCTGAGTGTTGAACAGACCTGGCTTGTATCTCGTTTCTGTGTATTGAAATAAGCTGGCTTGTATCTCGTTTCTGAGTGTTGAACTAACCTGGTCTGTATCTCGTTTCTGTGTGTTGAACTAACCTGGCTTGTATCTCGTTTCTGAGTGTTGAACTAACCTGGTCTGTATCTCGTTTCTGAGTGTTGAACTAACCTGGCCTGTATCTCGTTTCTGAGTGTTGAACTAACCTGTCCTGTAACTCGTTTCTGTGTGTTGAACTAACCAAACTTGTATCTCGTTTCTGTGTGTTGAAATAACCTGGCTTGTATCTCGTTTTTGTGTGTTGAACTAACCTGGCTTGTATCTCGTTTCTGTGTGTTGAACTAACCTGGCTTGTATCTCGTTTCTGTGTGTTGAACTAACCTGGCTTGTATCTCGTTTCTGTGTGTTGAACTAACCTGGCTTGTATCTCGTTTCTGAGTGTTGAACTAACCTGGCTTGTATCTCGTTTCTGTGTGTTGAACTAACCTGGCTTGTATCTCGTTTCTGAGTGTTGAACTAACCTGGCCTGTATCTCGTTTCTGAGTGTTGAACTAACCTGGCTTGTATCTCGTTTCTGTGTGTTGAACTAACCTGGCTTGTATCTCGTTTCTGAGTGTTGAACTAACCTGGCCTGTATCTCGTTTCTGAGTGTTGAACTAACCTGGCTTGTATCTCGTTTCTGAGTGTTGAACTAACCTGGCTTGTATCTCGTTTCTGTGTGTTGAACTAACCTGGCTTGTATCTCGTTTCTGAGTGTTGAACTAACCTGGCCTGTATCTCGTTTCTGAGTGTTGAACTAACCTGGCTTGTATCTCGTTTCTGAGTGTTGAACTAACCTGGCCAGTATCTCGTTTCTGTGTGTTGAAATAACCTGGCTTGTATCTCGTTTCTGAGTGTTGAACTAACCTGGCTTGTATCTCGTTTCTGAGTGTTGAACTAACCTGGCTTGTATCTCGTTTCTGAGTGTTGAACTAACCTGGCCAGTATCTCGTTTCTGTGTGTTGAAATAACCTGGCTTGTATCTCGTTTCTGTGTGTTGAACTAACCTGGCTTGTATCTCGTTTCTGAGTGTTGAACTAACCTGGCCAGTATCTCGTTTCTGTGTGTTGAAATAACCTGGCTTGTATCTCGTTTCTGTGTGTTGATCTAACCTGGCTTGTATCTCGTTTCTGTGAATGAAGATGACTTTGCCAGGAGGATAGAGTTTAGGAACCTCACTCGGGTCCTCCTCTGCTCTGTTGAAAGTAGGGAGGATCAGCGGGGCTTCCTCCTCCGAGTTTAGGATCACTTCCGCTATTGGTCTCAGTCTCATTACCGACATTATGTGGTCCAGTGTCAGCTTCCACTGAAATTTGGAGTGTGATTACTTAGTTAATTACTTAGTTAATTACTTAGTTAATTACTTAGTTAATTAAATATTTAATTACTTAGTTAATTAAATAGTTAATTACTTAGTTAATTAAATATTTAATTACTTAGTTAATTAAATAGTTAATAGATGTGGATACTGGCGGGGAGGTGATAATTGTTTGTTTACATTAATAGTGAGCACATGTTAAGCAGGCTGAGGAGGTGATCATTGTTTGTTTACATTTTAGGTCGAGCACATGTTAAGCAGGCTGATGAGGTGATACATATTTTGTATTATAGAAGGCTTGTAACACTTGTAACGCCTTCTTGTTACCCCCCTTTGAGGGCCCCAAATTATTTTCTGAACGAAAGCTCAAAAATAACCGAGAAATCGACCTTCTTATTAACTCATTTTGATGACCGTTTCTAACCTAAAATTGCACGAAAAATCGATTTAGCTAGGTTTCAGAACCTATAAACACTTCCTTATCCCTCAAAATTGATGTTTTATAGTTTAGAATGCGAGCAACAAGCAACATATATTTTGATCCTTCGCTTCTACTGCAGCTCTTGACCTAGGGCTGAAACCGAAAGATCGAGGCAATCCTCACCTTAACTGATCGAACTTGAGCGAAGAGCAGAGTACGACAAAACACAGCAGGTAAGTCATTTTGGTGACTGTTCCTCACCTGTACAACGTTGCACGAGAAATCGATTTAAGTTGGTTTTACAGCCCAATAACGCTTCCCTATTCCTAAAATTTTTGTGTTACTCAAACAAAGAACATGATGATTCTGCAACGAAAGAACAAGGAGATCATCTCGTTAACAACTCGAACAGGTTCTATCACAATTTTCAGAGCAGAGCACGATAGCAAAGTCAAAAGAAACAAAATAAAGGTAGGTAACCAACACAATGATATAACAATCATAATAGCAACTGAATTAAATTTATTCGGACGATGGGCAGCCCTGATGTGCTCCGTGATCCCGACCAATTGTAATAGATGTGTTCTGTCACGTGACGCAGATCCGTCCAATCACAAACAGGAAGAGTGAGCAGAGGGACATTATATCGTATGTTTACCTTTCTTATCTGTTCACTCGAAATATGAGATTTTTCTGAACGGGCCCCTAACACTAACAGTTAAAACCAACTTAAATCGTAGTATTTATATTTTTGTATGCTGATTGTGAATCACCCAACTGATGCTCCTCTGGCGAGATAACATGCTATGACCTATGATTTCTAATTTCTCGTTAAGGTTTCAGCATATGCTTAAGTTAGAAATCGGGTTTGTGTTAGGGTTAGGGTCATAATTGTGGGTGGTTAAGGTTTCAGAGCCATCTAGAGAACGTGTTGAAACGTCACGTATCAGTTGAGTGTAGAGTGATTAATCATCGTCCGGTTAGTTAAGAATAAGCGGAATAAAAAGCGAATTAAATTTCAGGAGTTACACTTAACATCCCAGCGGGGATGTGGGGCAAGACTCAGTTCACGCCGGAAGAAGTAGCAGCCAGCAGAAAAGTCAGCATCGCCCGCATCCACGTGGAACGCTCCATTGGCTATCTGAAGCGGTACAAGATTTTGGGAAACAAAGTTGTGGCGAAGATGTTGCCTTATCTCAGCGACATCGCATTCGTGTGTGCCCAACTTGTTAATTTGAACCCTGTTTTTTTAAGGGAGGTGGACAGTGATTTTTAAAAAATGACCAGGTCTACTTAATTAACTACAAAATTATGTTAATGTTCTGTTCTGACTGGACAATTTAAAGCACTACAGTCAGTTGGGGGAGAGACCAACACACTATCAAGATTGTTTGACTATCGTAAACAACCCCCACCCTACCCCCCCGTCTGCTGACTATTCCTGTTTGTGATTGGACGGATCTGCGTCACGTGACATAGCACCTCTTTTACAATTGGTCAGGATCACGGAGCACATCAGGGCTGCCCGTCGTCCGAATAAATTTAATTCAGTTGTTATTGTGATTGTTATATCATTGTGTTGGTTACCTACCTTTATTTTGTTTCTTTTGACTTTGCTATCGTGCTCTGCTCTGAAAATTGTGATAGAACCTGTTCAAGTTGTTAACGAGATGATCTCCTTGTTCTTTCGTTGCAGAATCATCATGTTCTTTGTTTGAGTAACACAAAAATTTTAGGAATAGGGAAGCGTTATTGGGCTGTAAAACCAACTTAAATCGATTTCTCGTGCAACGTTGTACAGGTGAGGAACAGTCACCAAAATGACTTACCTGCTGTGTTTTGTCGTACTCTGCTCTTCGCTCAAGTTCGATCAGTTAAGGTGAGGATTGCCTCGATCTTTCGGTTTCAGCCCTAGGTCAAGAGCTGCAGTAGAACCGAAGGATCAAAATATATGTTGCTTGTTGCTCGCATTCTAAACTATAAAACATCAATTTTGAGGGATAAGGAAGTGTTTATAGGTTCTGAAACCTAGCTAAATCGATTTTTCGTGCAATTTTAGGTTAGAAACGGTCATCAAAATGAGTTAATAAGAAGGTCGATTTCTCGGTTATTTTTGAGCTTTCGTTCAGAAAATAATTTGGGGCCCTCAAAGGGGGGTAACAAGAAGGCGTTACAAGTGTTACAAGCCTTCTATAATACAAAATATGTATCACCTCATCAGCCTGCTTAACATGTGCTCGACCTAAAATGTAAACAAACAATGATCACCTCCTCAGCCTGCTTAACATGTGCTCACTATTAATGTAAACAAACAATTATCACCTCCCCGCCAGTATCCACATCTATTACTTAGTTAATTAAATAGTTAATTACTTAGTTAATTACTTAGTTAATTACTTAGTTAATTACTTAGTTAATTACTTAGTTAATTACTTAGTTAATTACTTAGTTAATTACTTAGTTAATTACTTAGTTAATTACTTAGTTAATTGCTTAGTTAATTACTTAGTTAATTAAATAAAGATCATGGAATATCAAGAGTAAGGGATTCGGAGCTAGGGTAGGAATAAAGTCCAATAATAATAATTGTTTGTCAGGAGTTGGAGCATGCCGCAAATTTTTAAGTTTTTCTGTTACAGCACGTTGTTGGGCACACAGCACACAGCCTCGTTATAATTGGTATTGAAAAGCTCGTTTATTTTATGCAGTATTCCTCGCCCTGGTGTGAATTTCTTTCTGGTAATTTTTTTTATGGTCGGTTTTCCACTTCATTTTACGGCTGTTTCAGTTCAATTACTGTTTGGTTTTAAGCCTAAATCATGCTATATTATATTATATGGTGGCAGCTGTTTCTGACTATATTATATGCCTAAAGCCTAAACTCATGGAATGTTAATGCGTAAAGTAATATTAACGAACCGTCCTAACCGTTCACACCAGTACCTCTAGTCTTCCTAATTAAAGCCACTAATTGTTATTGAGTCACGATGGAATTTCACTCAAAACAGTATAACTATAAAAGTATAAAGCTATATATCAGCTATATTAATATGCCTGTCTTGGTGCGCTATTATTGGCCAGTATACAGAATCTGATGAGGTGACTCTTAGTCGTGCCAAACGAGGCTAGCATGACTTATCAAACTTGTAACATCCGAAACAGTGATGAAGGCAGAGGTTTGATGTGCATCAAGTCGGATCATTACGTTTAGTTGGGATATAATAAGACTAAAGCGCTCCCCTATCAGGCGCCTCCCAATCCTCACTCTCAATTCATTGTACTGCGAGTAATGCGGCACATGACCAGATAGCTCTCATTTAACACCCTCACGCAGAGCCCTTTCTTTTCAGATTAATCGATCAAGCTCATCAGTACAAATGGTGGTTCACCGATCAAATAGCACCAACAAAAGCTTTACTTACCGGCCAGCGAACCAAATAGGGGGCAAACAATGCGATCCCAGGTGCCATTATAGGTCCCTATTATACAACGCGCTGCAATAAAAGTTAGGCTCTTTCTTCTCTCTGCCCGTGATATGTTCTACGTGCTCATTCAGACTCTCATTTTTTAGAAATTCGTTTTGCTTCGATTAGAATAATTTAAATATAAGGACCTCGTAATGGGGCTGATTATGTTATCTTAGTTACCGATACTTAAACACGTAAACTGTATTGCACAATACCGCGTAGAACAGTCAAAGCCATTAAACGAACAGCTCCTTTTCAGAGCTGCTTTTGTTTCAAAACACTGTCTTATTTCTCACAACTCTCAGTTCTCACACGAGATCGATTAGCAGAGGTCAAACAATAAAAGCAGCATAAAATTAGAGCTAGCGTTTTGTTATGTCGGACAGGTACAGCGTCGGTCTGCTGGGACAACGTTTAAAGAGGTCATATATCATTACAATATATATATCACTACTGTTAGAGTACTTATTATTATCATCCTCCTGTTTGAATACTTTCTTTATATCGGTTCTTTGTTTATCCTGGATGTTTGATCGATAGAGCGGAGAATGGTCTCTGTAATGGATTACAGTACGCAGTCTCTAATAGTTCCGTATAACTTATTGTACGTATATTCGCTCTCTTAGACTTACCCTGATCGTTTAGATTTGTATAGCTCCCATTATACCGGTCGGGAATATAGTTGAGTATTTATATTCGGATCTATCTATTGGTAGTTTGTAAGGTCAAAGTTCATTCCCGATCTATTTTACTTGATCTTGCTTCTTTACTTCTGAACTCATTTTGTTTTATTAAGTGTTTCCCTTAACATATTTATCAATCAGATGATAAATTGATGCAAGCTCTTACGATAACCTTGTGTCTTCTCGTCATAACAAAAATAGTACTAACCGAGCCTCCTTACTTCATCATAGTCAGACTCCCCTCGGAGAGCTACAACGACCCTCTCAGTGCCCAGTTTAAGCAAATCTTCAGCTCAGACCAGCACCCACTCCCTGAGTGGAAGTGTAAGAGCGGGCTGACTCCCATAAAATTCCCACACGATGAGCAGGTAACCAACGCTAGGAGCATGGACCTGGAGGTAGGTTCAGAGGTGGAGTGTTTGGGACTGGTGGTGACGGTGGTAGCAGGGAGGGAGGTGAGGTTGTGGCGGGGCGAGGCGACCGAGTGTGGTCAGCGTCTCCAGGCCACGACACATGAGCTCACCAGGACCACGAACAAGGTCTCTGAGACATTTACGCTGCTACCACAAACAGAGTTCAGCGTGTATTCAGCTCAGCCTTCTGCTGATTGCATCACCCAGAGTATCAACTACATAGACCCCCCAAAACTGGTATTCAGATTCCAGAAAACTGAAAGCTCAAAATGCTCAGTCGTGTCTAATGATCTGAGTGTAGTGAAGTGTAACATGACAATTTCAGCGGGTTCTAAAGGAACAGTTGCCATGGCAACGGGAACCACAGAAATAAACGTACCGGACTTTATCTGGCAGATGGACGCCAAGACAATAAGATGTTCCTGTACTTGTGGAATTAAGACGGAGTTCTCCACCAGTAGCTCCGTTATTACAACCAGTATAAACTATAACAACTCAGTATCAGACGATGAAGAGGCAGAGGACGGGTCATACCAAGAAGAGGAGAAGGTTGATATGAACCTACTTCTGTTAATCCTGGGCGTCCTCTCAGCCATGCTGCTCTCATCCATTATCTCTAATATATTCTTCTTCAACTTAGCAAGGAGTCTCAAGAGAAAGCTAAACAAAGCGAAGAAGAACCCGTTCTCGCCGCCAGCACCACCCAGCTTCCAGCCGCCAGTTCAATACTCCCGTGTTCACAGAATAACAAACGAGTGTCACCATTACAATACGGTGTCATTAGAACTATCAGACTGTTTGGGATTAGACGCTGGAAAGGGTGGTACCACCGGTTCAGGCAGTGATAGACCTGTCTATCAGAAACTCAGATCCAATGATGCGGATGACGTGGAGTTGTAGTTTGTACGGTAGCTAATTAGCTAATAAGTTGATTAACTAAATTTTAGTAAGCTAGTCAGTCGGTTAGCTTGTCAGAAAGTCAGCTTTCCGTAGCAACTATGAAGTTGGTTATTTGGGATAATTTGGAAATTCGAGCGTTGCTTCTAGGGCGATCCAACTTCCAACCTTAAGATTGATAATGTTTAAATTTTCCCCAATTTTAAAATGATTGATCTTTATGTATTTTAGAGTAAGGTGACGAAAGCATGTTTGCATGATTGAGATTATTTATGGTACAGTATTTGTTTAATTCTATTTGTCTTTATGAATCAAATTATATAAGCGTTTTTATGATTCAAGTCCAACCCGCAGAAAATCTCTCCTTAAATTCAAAATAAAATCTCAACCATTAAAAAGCCCACCTTGGATCTATGGTTGATCTGAATAGCAGAGAGAACGCTGTCTCTGAGTTGCACGATGCTATTTATACTGAGCCTGGTTGCAAACTCCTTGTTAACCACAGTCGATACCACAAACTTCTTAGACTCTTCCGCTGCTTCTTCGCTGAACAGTTTTAATATTTCAAAGATATGTCACTCTATAATCTTATAACATAACTCATGATATCCCCAGTGGAGATAACCGTGAGATACGAGAATTACTCAAATTAGGGCAGTCAATAATTATAATCAATATCAGAGCCAAGGACACCGACATCCAGTTTTACAAAACCAGTGCCCACATGATCCCACATCTATATAAGATGACAATAGCGCGCACTGTGATCACAGAACATTACTCCCACAATAATAACCAGGAGACCAGAACAATTACCCCCTCACAAAGGAGCCCTGTTACCTGAGAAGTCCACCGGGCGGACCGTATGCAAAACACCGGAGAGTGGGGTAGCGGTCTCTGAGCATGAAACTGAGCAGGGTCGCAGCTCCCGCTCCCAGGGAGTGTCCTAGTACCAGCAGCTGGAACTCCTGGCATATTTAGAATATTTAGCATATTTAGCATATTTAGCATATTTAGCATATTTAGCATATTTAGAGAGAGGTAGAATTACTATACCAGTTTGCGCTGGGCCTCCTCCACGAAACTTGTACTTAACTCTTTTGAACTTAAGCTAAGTTCGCACTTAGCTTAAGTACGACAATTTCTGCTGTCCACGAAACTAGAGACACTTAAGCAAACACAAATTTAGGACAAACCTGTCGTCCACGAACGGGTATCATGCAGAGTACTTAACTGTCACGTGACTGAGGTAACGCAGGTCACACTAACCAATGGTGTGATAGCAAGTAGGAACCAAATTGAGCACACCCAGGCGGCAGGTTCTATTAGTATTATTGATTATGTCATTTCCAGTTATTTGGAAGAGGGACATGCTATCAACTGTCATGTTATATGTGACATCAATGAGCAATTTCTGACGCTGTTGTGCGTTGGCCCGGTAGTATCCATGATTCAGCCATTTGGAAATTAAGTGGGGTTAAGACCTTGATCGAAGATTTTGTCAAGAGCCAAGGGCCAAACTATAATAAGGGTTAGCTTCTTGGTGATTCGGGGTACGGCCAGCGAGAAATCATGATGGTTCCACTGCTTGAAGAAAATCTCACTCCGAAAGAGAAACGGTACAATGTTGCACACAAAAAGTGCAGATGTACTGTAGAAAGGGCCATTGGTGTCCTGAAATCGAGGTTTAGGTGTCTCTGCAAGAAGACAGGTGGTGCAATATTGTACCGCATGTAATATCATATTTAGTTGTATGGTCCTACTCCTGCATAATTACTGCAGATCTAGGAATATGGACTACCCTGTAGATAGTAGATACAGACATTGCGAGGACATCAGTGAAAATTGAGGCTCTGAAATTGGGACAGGAAGCTAGAACACATGTGTCATTGATTCGTTCATCTAAATAATGACTGAAGATAACTGTTACTAAGCCCTTCAGCTTATTGAAAAACACTCAAAATTTACGGTTTATATGTTTTTAAAACCCTCGAAACTGTTTGCTGTTCCTCAATCACTATTTTAGTGATCACAAAATCCGATTTTACATTTAAGTTCGACTTAAGTACAGCTTAAGTGCGGTTTGGACTGGTCTTAACTTTTTACTTAAATCTGCCTGATTTAAGTCCACTCTTAAGTAAATTTGGGGCTTAAGTAAGTATCGATTACAATTACGCTTCCAACACGCACCATATATGGAGGCTAACGCAACTTTAAGTGCACGCTAAGTTTAACTCCCAAAGTCGTACTTAAATATTTAAGTAGGAACTTAAATCATGCGACTTAAGCAAAAATTTGTACTTAAGACTCAGTTCGTGGACGACAAACGAAGGGTTGTACTTAAATTTGTACTTAAGTCATGCTTAAGTACACCATAAACTGTTCGTGGAAGACACCCTGATCCAAAAAATTTGAAGCAATATGTACTTCCTGAATCCTGATGTTCAGGAAGTACATATTGCAAACAACTGAGTGGAAAACTATCAGTACTAAAAGTTAAAGTTGGCAGTATGTGTACAACTTACATCTCACAACTTACCGGATACAAACTGAAAGCTTTCTCCAGAACCCTATCAGTCTCTAGAATAGTTATAATGTTGGAAGCAGATAACACCATTCCCCTGTGTGCTAGTAGTCCGGGATTTCCTGGTATGTCCTGTGGTTCACATACCATGTCTGTGATAACATCCTGGGGAGAAATTCAGGATTATACATACATTATGTATAGGATTTATAGGATATATAGGATCATACAGTCCACTATGTTCTGCGCAAGAACCTCGTGCCCCAATAAAGGTAAAAACAAATCTTTACTCTTACCCGAAACCTTACCTACTGGGGCACAGGATTAACTGTGTCAAAGTGCCGGGGCAAAACCACCGGCTGAAAAACTCTGATCATAACTCATTGACCATTACCTGGCCAGCAAATGTGGTTTTAAACTGTGACGAATGAGAATGTCTGTCATTACTCAGTGAAAAACGGAATATGCTAATGAATCTGACAAAATATGTAAAATATGTTTAGTCATAATTGGTCAAAAAATTGCCGAAAATGGCAATCAATAATAGGTTTAAAACACCAGCTAACCTGCAGTGAGAGGGTCCCTCTGATTGTTACTATGATAACTTGTCTGTTGTGGTCCACAGCTACGTAGAACGCTGGGCTGTAGATCTGTAATATACACGTGTTAATTGTTTATTTTATTTGGAGTTGATCATGGTTGTAAATTTATCTAAATTATTAGATTAAATCAACATATTATAATAAGTTTGGATTATACTTGTCACTCTTCACTCCACAGTACAAAAACAACTAACAAACCACACTCATTTTCACTCAGCACGCACGAACAGCGCAATTTACATGCTATCAGAAAACCATACTCGTTTTCTGAAGATTCAAGCTCATCTTAACTCGGCTTTCGGGTAATTATCAGTTGGCTTATAATAGACCATGTCCGCAGAATAATGATTGTAAACTGGGGAATACTGACCCTGTGGGTGGCCATGATTTAGACAAACTAGAGATTCAGCAGTCTGTATTAACTATTTGATACGGTATGTTAGGAATCTGAATCACAGGGTGCGTCTTATAATCGTAGGAACAAGCAGTTTCACATATCTAAACTTAGAACCAATATTATCTATAACTACACATGTCACGGATTGGTGGCCTACTGGCACCCCTCCAAGATAAGTGACATACAGGAGCTTGAAAGCGTTTAATATTCAGAGTGGTTGTAAGAACCGTATACGAGTCACCAAATTGTTGAAAATTATCTGGTGTTCTAGGCTAATCAAAGAACTCGTGAGGCCAGAAAATGTGTGAAACAAAAGGTTTGAAGGCAATGAAGATTCCTGGCTGCCCTCTTTACGCTTATTATCCCACACTTATTATACTAAGAGCCCCAGGGGATTAGCATAATAATATCATAGCCTCGCCTACCCTAACAGCGAGATTTCTCGTGTTGCATTATTGAAAACGCCAACTTGGAGCTGTTGCTTTGACAAAAACTGGCTTTTCTAGATGGTGAAATTTACAAGCTTTTGGTCTATTTGCAAGCTTTTGGTCTATTAACTTGACAGCTTGATGCCTGAGGACGTTGAAACTAGGCTTAACCCCACTGTACTCAGTATGATCATTTTACTGCCCGATTTAAGCTCTTAACTCCAATCAGAAACCGAGTTATTTTGATTGGAAGTGCTGTAGTCGCAACACGCGACAGTGTAAAAATGGTTTTTGGCCTAATAACTCAGCGATCCGAGGACTAATGACTGAGAACTTTGACATTATGCTCTACCCGACTCAATGTGATCATTTTGAAAATTTAAATGTCCAAGTTGAGCATTTAGCTTCTTCTGAAGCCGAGATATCTTGTATTATAAAGTGCTGTTATTGCTATTATCACGAGAGCGCAAATAGGTGCACTGCAGCCTCATAACTAATGTTCTAATGTCATAGGACACGAGGGCAATGGAACGGAAACTACCTAGATAACCGTTTAGAAGTTGCCACTTAGAGCGGTTTCTTGTGAACTACAGAGAATAATGCAGACTTAGGGTTAATTTAGAGTCGGCTGGTTCTCTGAGTTGTGCCCGGATGACAATGATAAATCTACATAATTGATTGATAGAGCCACGCTCGTGTGAAGCTTTCAACATTTTGAATCATTCATAGTCACAAAGTCTAGCCGGTAAGCCTTTTTATCTCAGGACATACTCCTTCTTACCATGGTTCAGTGTTGCCGCTCTGTGTGGCATCACTACCAGAGATGGTGTGCTCTGTGTGGTATCACTACCAGAGATGGTGTGCTCTGTGTGGCATCACTACCAGAGATGGTGTGCTCTGTGTGGCATCACTACCAGAGATGGTGTGCTCTGTGTGGCATCACTACCAGAGATGGTGTGATCAGTGCGTTCAGTGCGTTTAATCGGCCATATTTTGGTTTTGATGAATTTTTTTGGGTCTGTAAAATTTGAATAGATTATCTAAGAATGCGGTTAGCTCCTTCCTGTGACATAAGGCTTTCTAGTAGCCCTTACGAAATAAAATGTACGTATTGGCGCAATCTTTTAAAATTCAAGCCTTTTACCAGTAGAAGAATGAGAACTCTTTATTACCGATACATCTATTATCCATTAGACACAGAACTAATTAGTAATTGATCATTATCGTCCAGATATTTGATTTAGAGCACAGTCTGTGCTCGGTACCGGGTAGTGACTATCCAGACCCCGTGACGGTGTGACTCATAAAAACGTGATTTACACTTGATACTAGGGGAGAGGTAGGATTGTTGCCTGGCATAACACATATCGATATTCTTGTTTTACGAGCTTATTGCTACCTAATTAATAGTAACTGATTTTGAACATGTTTCGTGTTTTTACCAGTCTGCTTTAAACTGTGTTTAAATGTTGTTATGTTATTGGGTTTGAGACAAGGTCGGACGGATAATTATCAGTAATGATTGGTCACAAACCTGGAACATTTGCATAAAATATCCCCTCCCGTAAATAAAACATAGTGTATATTGTAATTTGTATAACTATAAGGCATGATGTCTAGCCAGGAAAACAGTAGCTCATCAGTCCTATATTGACCAGTTAAGCGATTCACAAGAGAAACTGATGAGTACATTCCATCCTAACAATACTAATATATTAATAACATTAGTAGCATTAGTAGGTCATTGACTACTGATTATCGCAAGTCATTATAGTGGTACGTCTATGGGTTTGTAGGTATCAGGAACCTACCAACACTCTTCATCTTCACGTCACACTCACTTGCTCTCTCATATTAACTTTATTGAATTAAACTAAACCTTGTCTTAAACTGCAACAAAATCTAGACCATCTGTTGGCTATAGGCCAATAAAAATAGGTCCAAATGTCACGTGACTCACGCAATTCTGACTTGACAACTAACGAAGTCTACTCTTTACAATACACGAACAAAAAGGACCGCTTCAAAATTAGATGACCATTTGTTGAAGAGTTACGTAGAAGGTTGTCGCTTGTCCGAGACGGACGAGAATAATATTCAGTAATTTAATCTAAACCGTATAAATTAGGATAAAAGATTGTCAGCACTTCTTGTTGAACTCTAATTTTGTACATTAATTATGTATTAGTAGTAAACGTAGTTTTTAAATATGGTTTTGTTGTTTGAATTTTTACCTTACTTCGACCTCAATAATTTTAGGGTTGATTTTGTAGGGTTATTTTAGGGTTTTGTGCTATTTTTGTAATATCGAAATACTTTAAAGTTTATGATAGTACATGTACATTAGTTAATGTAAATGTAACAAAACTCGTTATTGGTTACATGATATATAATACATCTATTAATCGTACGCACTGAACCGGAAAAGAAAACCGAGTCGAGATCGGTCTTAATCCTTGTAATTGATTTCAGCTTAATGTTCACTGTTCGGCCATGAAGCTTGCTATCGTTTTCACTGTGTGCTTACTGCACTCAGCAACACAAAGTAAGATCTCAAATTTCATTCTTAACCCTAATCTAATTTTGAATGATTTTGAATACATAACTAAACTTATCGTGATGAATGATTGCCGCTTATCAGATTTAACGAAGCACCAAGAATTAAAACCCTTTCCCTCTGGTCCAGGTTGCTGGCAAAGTAACACGGGTAGCTTCGATGACTCTAACAAAATCGGACAGAAAGAACTAGTCAACAATGACGACTGTATAAGTTGGTGTAATGAAGAAGAACGTTGTCTAGCAGTGGCTATAAGCCCAGTTCACTGGGCCTACAGGGAGTGTTTTAGAGTAACAGTCACAGACATCACGTCCCGGTCTGGCTGGTCAACAGCTTACAAGTCATGTTTTGGTACCAAGATACCAGGTATGATTCCTTAATTGATCTGTTATTGAGTTGGCAACTGCTTGGGTTAAGTTTAGATTAATTAATCTTCACGACGCAGCGGTTTCGAATACAATCCAATATACATATGTTTCAGACTGCACAGGACTGCCGAGCACGTGGCATCACGTGACAACTCCCACCAAGTTCCCAATACAACACAGTACAATAGTAACTGTGAACTGCAGTCCTGGTTTTATCAACAGTGGGGGAGATGTGGTGGTGTGTTCAGGAGAGAGGGAGTTTTCCGGGGACCCGCCCATCTGTACATCAGGTCAGTTCACTGAGAGTGGAGCCCAAGGCATTTGTGTTTCAGGTAACTTGTTCGGCAATAGGTATTATCGGATAAGGTAAGTATAGGAGGGGTGCTGTTACGCTGGCTATTGGCACATAATATCTTTATACCTCAACTATTAGCATATAGTTAGAAGAAAGTCTTAACTCAGATATCATATTGATGGTAGGAGGATTATTGTATTACTAGTGTAACCCGTGCCTACGGCCAGGACTTCACTATCGCAGTTGAATTGCAAAAGTATAAACAGTGCTAAGGTTACAATTGTGCAAAAGTATGAACTTACTCAGTTGAAACCGGTCCCATTAGAGAAAATTTAATTCTGAGCGCCCAACACGCAATACGTATCCAATAGTAATACTTAATAGGCTCCACTGCCAATTTACCTAATTATGTACAAAGCAGTAATTAGGGGACCTGTAAATGGGGAGAGAGAGACTGAGAGAGTGAGTGTGAGAGATAAAGTGAGACACTTTAGTATCACATTTGGGTTACAAAACCAATCAATTAAACCACTTACCAACGGCCGATTTAACAAATATTTTCTTATTGGCTTCGTCAGAATAACTATCCCATTCTCATTAAACTATATAAAAAATAAGTATAAAGAATAAGGAAAAGGAACGGGAATGAAGCCAATACCAGAAGTGAAACCCCACCAAAGAATAATTGATCCTTAGGTAGACCTGGTGAAATAAAGTAACTGAACTGTAAGTTTAAGAAAAGACGGAAGGAATAAAGGAGAGAGGAAATAATGTTATGTGAACATCATCAGCAGATGACTTGGCACACCGGTTTCGGGGGTTTAATACCTGTACCGGTTTAATGTGCCAAGACCCCCTAGCAATCACTCGTCAGTGATCACCTGTTCACGTTAAATGTGATGTCAAGGATGTCGCTGACATCAAGTATACTGTATTTGTATAGAATACTAGGTCGGTCTTTCAGAAGCTTTCTGAATTTACTCTTCAGGAGTCTGTCATTATAACATCTTGAAAGAAGTGTCCTATAAAGGGTGTTGGTAGAACACAGAAAAGAATCAAGGTCAGAGATAATGGAAGAGTAACGAAGGACCTGACCGTAAAAAACATTATAACCAACAGAAGAGGAAATATTACTGTTAGGAAAGGTGTACATGACCACAGGAAAGTTGAAGTCATCAAGTTTGTTGTAAAGCTTGGTGGCGACGTGTCCGGAGTTATTCATCGAGATGTTGATGTCGAGATAGTTTACGGACTTATTGTCGTCACCACTCCTCTCCATAAGCAGGTCAGGTGGATAAATGGACCTGATTAGGTTAGAGAAATGCAAATAGTTCATGGTGTTGAGGTCGTCGACATATCTGCAGTTTCTTGAGAGGAGCTTAGCGAGACCGAACTTCTTTTCTTTGATTAGGCGTGTCATGTAGTTGAATTCACACTTCCCTAGCGAAAGATCAGCGAACTGGCTACTAGAATTCCCTCCCATGGGAATGCCTTTCGTTTGTCTTAAAATCTGATCCCCAAAACAAACAAAAGTGTTAAACAGAATAAATGTAATAGCTGTTTTGAGTTTATCAGCAGAAAAACATAAGTATCCGTTATATTCCTTTTTAGAGAAAAAATTGTTGTTCTTATACAGAGAAACACAAATAAATTTATTCGTATTACTAAAGAGGAGATCTATTAGCTCGAAAAGCAGTGACTGTACAACCTGAAGGTCTAGATTGGTATACAGAGTGGTAAAGTCGTATACCTGCATATTAAAAATCTCTAGTCTAGGCAGCCTTTCCAGGAACTGTTTAGAGCTGTTAATGCTCCAGTCGCAGTTAATTCCAGTATTGTTGTAGATAGAGTTGCAGTATTTGGAAAAGTATTCTTTTAAAACTTTTAAAGCTTTGTTGGGCTACCGGACAACTGAACCCAATTTGGACTTTTCCTAGACAGGGTAGCTTGGGAAAATAATTATAAACCCAATCAGACTACCTAATTAACTTTGAAACGACAACTGAACCCAATCGTCACTAGAAATCACTAACAGTTTAACAGGTTTCCAAATACCGTTCTAGTTTAGCTGCTGCTTGGTTTCTAGTGCTATAATTTCGGTCTGTTGAGGTTGGTGCTTCGGAGTGGTTGGCAGATCCGGACTTATCTGCTCGTGATTGTTGGACAATTCTGGCGAGTAACATGAGCCAAGTATCCAGCGTGCTAATGGTGCGTTCCATCAGCTTTGGAAGACATGAAACAGTGGAACTATAAGAACGCCCATCAAGATCCGTATCTACAAGGCTAAATTTCAAAGCTAGACGGACACGTTGTCAGAATGCCAGAGACACAGTTTCCAAATTTTTTACTGGATTAGAAACCAAACTATGGGAAGAGACTGAGAGGACGACTCTGTAAAGGCTGGATGGCCTGCGTTCTCGAGGATGCGGCTGACAGGTGTCGATAACATCAGCAGAGACGCAGTAAAACAGTTAGCTCTAACACTAGTGGAACACCGTAGAAGAGATGTGTGTGATGCAGACCACTCCGACGACTAGGAGGAGACCTCTTCAATCTTCATGTAGCATGTATATTGTATAATGTATTAATATTTTACCGGGGTGGAGTTGTGATATGACCTAGGTTCAGTTGTCGTTTTGGGATTTAAGCTGATTGGTCACCCAATTAAGCTGATTGGGTGCCTGTTAACTGCGTGGGAACTAGGTTCAATTGGGTTCAGTTGTCTGCCACCCCTTTGTTGACTACAACTGATATCTGCTTAGTGGTACATTTACTGGCCCCAGCTATAAATCTAGACTTATAAGGATTCTTGTGAAGTTTAGGAATCCAAAAGATTCTCGGTAGACAAAGGTTGTCCTCAGAAACACGAATATTAAAGCTATCTTTAATGAAGTTCACATGTTCCTGAATAATATCATCCTCTACAGAGTTAACCGGATGATAAGTAGAATTGCCACGACACTCTAGAGAAGTGAGATCGTAGCCAAGTTCGTTGAGAAGGGTTAAAAGATAAAACTTCTTGCAGACAAAAACATAATTATTTGAAGCTTTATCTACGGAGCAAATAATAAAAGAAGAAGAAAGACTGTCGAGATAAGATTTAACATCATCCCTTTGTAGAATGGAATTGTAGGGAGTGAAGTTATTAGGGGAGGAGGAGAGGAAGTTAAGGCGATTGGTGAAGATCCGGGAGACCTCATCTTTCCAATCCTGGAATTCCAAACATGAAAGTCCAACAGTAACTCTTACAGTTTTCTTGATAAAACCGTTAGGAAATTACAAACGTACACACCCACCACCCACCACCTACCACCCACACACCCACACATCCACAGATTTATTGGGATTATTAGTATAGATGCAGAATGCAGAATTAAGTAATAGTTTAGTTTGATGAGTGACAACTAACAAAGAATACAATTGGAATGAAAAATAATTAAAGAAATCAGAAACAAACTCTTATTTACATTTACAATCATCATTATGTATAACAGTGGATTTCCCACCTACGAGTGGTGGCTGAGAGGTGGCGCGCCTGAGAGAATAAATGTACAACTACAATTACATACGCTCTACTCAGTATCAAATTGCTTACTTTCCCGTATTGGATCACATCATATTTCACACAAGAATAAAGAATGTCGTTAACTTATTCACTTGACAACACGAGATAAAGAGAACCCAAATTAAGAGTTACAAGTTCGTTTGGTAGTATGACCATTGGATGTGTCGTCCTAAAAATATCAACATGAATAATGTCTAAAATTAAAGTGTCATCCATTATGCCATTATTACGGCTGATAAGAATAAAGTGACTTAGGAGAGTTTAATTAGGTTTCATCTCGTAAAGTTCATGGTTGTTGTAGATAGTTTCGTTAGGCACTCCAGTAGAAGACAGTGAGGGTGGTTGTGTGATGACGTTTTCAATATATTCATTTTCAGAGTAAACATTAAAGCATTTTCTGAGTACGAATTTCCGTGTAGAAGCTATTGAGAGTAGTACCGTAGTGATGAAGAACACAGCCGCTAGACCCCATCCAACCAACATAGTTGTTTTGTAACCTGACGGTTTAGTTTTTGTTATTCTGCAAGTTCATGGAATTATATTTAGATGTTGTTAAATGAGAACGGCTTGTAGAAATTAAAACTGATGTGATTTCGCAAAATCATGGAGCCCAATTTTACATGTAAAATATTAATTTAACAGTAACCTGAGTCTGGCACAGTTGGTTCAGGTGCAGGTGTGAAGCATTCTTGCGGTTTAACCGCATGATAGGAACTAGTCTGGTTGTCAGGACATGGGTAGCAGGTTCCTTCAATTCCCCAGTTTCCTTCTGTACAGCAGCTTTTACCAGAGAAACACTCTCCCACTCCAGTCGCACTAGTTTCTCCTGGTTCACACACCTCACAATCTTTACCAACACCACCTTCTCCTTCTGTGCAGTTGTATCCAACTCTGGTGATGTTACGAGTATTTAGGACTTTATTTCCATCTTTTAGGACACAGTTTACCACATTTTCGTTGCTCAGAGTAATGTTGAATCCGATCCGGGGTGGTATGGAGGTGGTATAACCAGTCTCGTTTCTTGTCACAGAAATGTTCTCATTTCCACAATCCAGAGTCACCTGTTTTAGTGGCCACCCTTTAACCGTCCACTCAAACTCTGTGACTGTACCATTGTTTTTGTAGTATTCTAGATTTGGTGAGTCGAGGAGAGTTACTGGGTTGGTGTACTGTAGGACGTATGTCTTATTGACACTGTCACCGAAGTTTTTGTTACGGATGGTGCAAATCCATTCTCCGAGATGGTCCAAGGTGATATTATCTATCTCTACCTTAGAGCTGATCTGGTGATCTGCTGTTGTGTTGTCGTAGGTGCTTGTCCAAACTGGAACCGTTGCCTTATCTCTGGTCCACATCACATCAAGATAAGGAGCTCCGGAGCCGGTGCAGGTGAGAGTGTGGGGAGAGCCGAGGGTAACATTTTCTGTTACAAGTTGTTCACCACAAAGTCTTGGTGTGGAATCAGAGCAGACTGATATGTACTTGTATACAGTACATCGTCCCCCACACCTTATCTTCACAGTATCCTTGAGACGCACATCTTTTAACGTTTTCCAATTTGTATCAGTTCCGTAATTGTATTCCAAGCTCTCAGCGTTACCAGGATGACCCATGAATATTTTGTAGACATTTGCATCTAAATCTGATATTTGAATACTCTTCACGATCTCGAAACTAAGCGACTTCGTCCCGATAGGACTGCCTTTCTTTCCGCTGACAACACCATTTTTTCCGGGAATAATCTTGAAAAAAAGTGATTGGTTGTCTTCTTTTTCAGTATTGTCATTGTGAAACCTCAGGAAATCAAATGTTTTGCCGTAATCAGGAGTAAAGGTTTCGAAGCGGGCCGTGATGATTCCTGTTACACTGCCTGATGCAATCCCTTCAACAATGAAATAGGTGTCTGCTATGCTAGAGTGATTCTCCCAGTCTGCGTTGGAATTGCTGTACAAAAATGAGCAAATATTCGGGCAACCTTTTACATTTTCAAACCACACAAAAAACAATACCAAAACAAGAAAACTCCTCATTCCAAAACTTTGCTCCCAAGAAACTAACGGGTTACTGAACAACACGATATATCATGAGCAACATATTTTCCGTATTTCGAGTTTCGCTTCCCTGCGACCACCGCCGCTGCACATACTAATGGTTGTGGTGCAGTAAAACCCTACTCAAGTAACAAATAAAGGGACTTTTCTCAGCTCGCGTTATATATTACCATAGTTCATGCCTTCATAGCCAGTATTGTTTTTTTTTCACGGAAATGTTCTCATTTCCGCATTCTAGTTTAACTTGCTCTAATGGCCACCCTTCAACCGTCCACTCAAACTCTGTGTCGTTTCCATTGTCTTTGTAGTATTCTAGATTTGGTGAGTCGAGGAGAGTTACTGGGTTGGTGTACTGTAGGACGTATGTCTTATTGACACTGTCAGCAAAGTTTTTGTTACTGATGGTGCAAATCCATTCTCCGAGATGGTCCAATGTGATATTATCTATCTCTACCTTAGATCTGATCTGGTGATCTGCTGTTGTGACTTGTGTTGTCGTAGGTGCTTGTCCAAACTGGAACCGTTGCCTTATCTCTGGTCCACATCACATCAAGATAAGGAGCTCCGGAGCCGGTACAGGTGAGAGTGTGGGGAGAGCCGAGGGTAACATTTTCTGTAACAAGTTGTTCATCACAAATTCTTGGTGTGGAATCAGAGCAACCTGATATGAACTTGTACACAGTACATCGTCCACCATTCTTTATCTTCACAGTATCCTTGAGACGCACATGTTGGAAGTTTGCCCAATCTGTACTACTTTCGTACTTGTAGTCCAAGCTCTCAGCGTTACCAGGGTGACCGATGAATATTTTGTAATAATTTGTATTTATATCTGATATTTGAATACTCTTCACGATCTTGTTAGTTAGCGAGGTTCCCGTGGTTGCTAGGTCATTCCTCTTTCCCTAATATAACCTTCACTTTCGAGATTGCATTGGTGAAGAAAAAAAAGTGACTTGTTTTGTTCACCATCAGAATCGTCATTAAGAAACCTCAAGAAATCCCATTTCCTGTCTTTCCCTGGCTCGTCGTAAATATCAGTGAAGGTTTCGAAGCGGGCAGTGATGATTCCTGTTACATTGCCGGGTGTAACAGGGACAATGAAACCAGTTTTTGCTATGCTAGAGTGCTTATCCCAGTCTGACTTAGGATTGCTGTACAAAAATTACCAAACATTCGAGCAAGCTTTTACCTTTTCAAGCGACGCGAAAAACAATATTAAAACAAGTACACTCCTCATTACAAAACTCTGCTCCCAGAAACTAGCAAGCAACAATATATCATGAGTATACTAGTTTTTGTATTTCGAATTTCGTTTCCCTGCTACATACAGCTGCACATCTTATTATATATAAAGCGAGACGATATATCTGAAACTATGCTTGGTGTAGCTCGTTGGGATAGTATAGGAATTCTAGTTCCTATAGTTGGGAATGAGGTAGTTGTCTGTTCACAGATCGCCCTCTAAAACTTACAAGGAAATATTTCCTGTAGATCCTTGGTATATAAGCAACATTTGACAGAACATAGTGTGGAGTGAGCTATGTGCCCATCCTTGGAGAACCCGGTGGATGTCCTTGCTGTACGGCAGTGTTAAACAAGGAACTGAAACCGAGGTGTTCCGTTCAGGCCCTTCAAACTTTGTTTCTGTCTAGTTCTAATGTACCGTCACAATAGTGACTTTAAATATATACATATCTGTTACCATTTTACTGACACCACGACATCAACTTTAACACAACTTTTCGAGAAAACCGTGTGGTGAGAGATATACCATCAAACCTTTTTTGGTTGGGTTGAATGTTTTTATTTCTTTTTGACCAGTATGAAGAAATAAAAATTGGTCAAGGAATAAGAACTTTAGATCCCGAAATTTGGACCCCCAAGTGCTGTCAAAATCACAACATAAATAAATATTATTTTATCTTGACACCGCTTTAGGGTTAGACGGGTTTCTGCTAGTATAAATAATTGAGGTGGCGCAGTAAAATCATACTCAAGTAACAAATAAAGAGATTTATCCTATATTTCATGTCCTTCTTCAGGATTTGATGATACAATGTGGAAGGGGATATCTATCTACAAAAATTAGGAATTAGGAATACCAATTTAAGAATTCATATCTATTTTGGAGAATTGAGCTTGACCGCCCTGCTTACGTTCGAAAGGAAGCGAGTGTCTTCTTCTAGGAAGAAATTAATGATAGCAGTTTTTGAGCGCTAGGCAGTGAATAGGAAATTAGATACAAACATAAACTCTGTCTAGAAGTAGCGTCCAGTACTATATGCATATAATGCATATAGTGCTGGATGTTACCTCTACACAGAGTTTATGTTTGTATCTGTATATAGCATAGGTTGAGCTTGAAAGCTGCGGTTTAATTAACATTATGACTAATATCACTTCTATTTTTTGTTTATATTAGGAGTCGTTCACATCTTACTATATATAAAGTGAGACGATAAATATATATGGATCCATACCATTTTACTGACACCACGGCATCAACTTTAACGCGACTTTCCGCAAAAACCGTAAAAGATATACAACTGAAACTTTTTTGACTGGACCAAATGCTTTAATGCCTCCAAATCAGCATGAAAAAAAATTGGCCAAGAAATAGGAGTTTTAGAGCCCAAAATTTGGACCCCCAAGTGGTGTCAAAATTAGTGGTGCGAATTAGATAGGTAATAATTATTTTAGTCTCTTGGGTCTTGACACCATTTTAGGGCTTTACGGGTTCCTGCTAGTATTATGTAATCAGCCGAGGGGGTGGGTTTCCAAATGATTACGCTAGTGTAATTTTGAAACAATAGCCATGTGTAAAACTGATTATGTAATATGTAAACGACCCCTAAGAGAAGTTGTGAATAGGTCCAATGCAACTTTTCATTCAAAATTTATTTGAAAAAATCTAACTTCTATTGGGTCAATATTACAAGTCGTTTTATGGATTAAAATTAGAGTGTATGCAGAAAACAAACAGTTGGAAGTGCAATCACATTTATTTAACTGTAATTTTCTAACAGATGTTACAAAATTATGATATGAGCAAAATATTGTTAATCAAGAAATAGTAATTAAAATCACTGGAATATATACAGGTTTACACCCTATAAAACGTAGACAAAGGTTTCGAAATTCAAATTAAATCCTCATTGATGATAGTCGAGGCTTTCATTATCAGAGTAAACAAATTATAATACAATAAGACCATTTTATGCTGAACAAGAACACATTAACAGAAATAGCGGAAAATATAACGAGGGAAAAATTGCCGCAGTCTTTAAAACAGAGATTGAGAAACTAAATGGGTGAAATTAAATTTACAAAAAAACGTCCCTGATATAAAGACGTCCCGGGCCTGTATGAAGGCAGGAAGTTGTAAAATACTAAATTATTAATTTCACACTGCTATGATGAATTTCGTGCGATTTTATCAAAGTTTGTTCATCCATACGTTATTTGTATTCGCTTTCTATTTCCACTCAATCCTTTTCGTATGACTTCTGACGTTGAAGCTCTGACATCGTGGAGTATTCTGCTCTCTCGTTGTTGGTAACTGGAACTGTTGGTTTGGTTCTCAGTTTAGAGGAGTCAGATAGTTCCACGCAGGCGTAAGTGTCATCTTCATCTTCAACTGGAACTGTTGGTATGGTTCTCAGTTTAGAGGAATCAGAAAGCTCTACGCAGGCATAAGTGTCATCTTCTTCTTCTATTGGCATATTCCTTGAAATAAGAATAAGTTGTAACTTTAAAAAAATACAGAAAGAAAATGAATTGGCCCATTCGTCAAATCTCTTATATAAAATAAAGAGCTTTGATTAGTAGTAGATCTCAACTGTAATAATAAAACCAAGTTTAGGAATTGGTTCGCTTATATTTGCCCTCTAATTACCTGTTTGCCTTGAACTGGCCGTTGTCATTTCCTGTTTTACCGACTCGTATGTTAGGATAAGCTTTAGGGTTCCTGAAGTAGGATCAGTTGGAATTTAAAGACATATACGAGTTTCCAAAATTATTGTGCGATATTGGCTAAATCAAACTATTAAAATAGAACATTGAAATTAACAAATTTATTTAAACTTTTACCCTTCTTCTTTTATGATAACAGCATAAAGAGGATCTTCCTTCAGTCCGTCCCCGCCATTTTTTGACGACATCTTCCCTGACCGGTTGGCTCTCTTCCCAGTTTCTGGTCTTTCTAGACGAGCGAGCGTACTTTCTTCCCCTTTTTCGTCTTTGTCAGTCGAATGCACTCTTTTCACTTCGTCTAAATTAGCATACGGTGTGTCTTCTTCCACTTCTAAAGATCTGCTGGCCATAGCGGTCATCTCCATTAAGGATCTATCAGTCGAATTAAACTGTTGAGACGTGTTCTCCTTGTCTTTACTTTTACAGTTGTTCCGGGTGAGCGTCTCGTTCATATTAGCGTAAGTACATTCAGAATCATCCAGATCACTTAGAAGTCTTGGAATGGTTCTTTGAACTGGATCGTCAGAGTAGACCGCATTGATTTCCGCAGTTCCTGTAAATCTAGGCTGAAGAGGTTGACCGACTAAGAGTTCTTTTGGTTTCTTTCTGCGGAGGATCAGACAAAGAACAGCAGTCATTATCAAGACAGCTACAAATCCACCAGCACCACCGGCTATAGGAGCAATAAGGTTCTTGTCTGGTGCAGGCGGTACAGTAGGTTCAGGTGCAGGTGTGAAGCATTCTTGCGGTTTAACCGCATGATAGGAACTAGTCTGGTTGTCAGGACATGGATTGCAAATTCCGTCAATTCCCCAGTTTCCTTCTGTACAGGAACTGTTGCCAGCGAAACACTCTCCAACTCCAGCCACACTAGTTTGTCCTGGTTCACACTCTTCACAATCTTTACCAACACCACCTTCTCCCTCTGTGCAGTTGTATCCAACTCTGGTGATGTTACGAGTATTTAGGACTTTATTTCCATCTTTTAGGACACAGTTTATTACGGTCTCGTTTCTTAGAATGATTTTAAATCCAACTCGGGGAGGTATAAAGGTTCTATAGCCAGTATCGTTTTTTTTCACTGAAATGTTCTCATTTCCGCATTCTAGTTTAACTTGCTCTAATGGCCACCCTTCAACCGTCCACTCAAACTCTGTGTCGTTTTCATTGTCTTTGTAGTATTCTAGATTTGGTGAGTCAAGGAGAATTACTGGGTTGGAGTACTGTAGGACGTATTTCTTATTGACACTGTCACCGAAGTTTTTGTTACGGATGGTGCAAATCCATTCTCCGAGATGGTCCAAGGTGATATTATCTATCTCTACCTTAGAGCTGATCTGGTGATCTGCTGTTGTGTTGTCGTAGGTACTTGACCAAACTGGAACCGTTGCCTTATCTCTGGTCCACATCACATCAAGATAAGGAGCTCCAGAGCCGGTACAGGTGAGAATGTGTGGAGAGCCGAGGGTAACCTTTTCTGTTACAAGACGTTGTTCACCACAATGTCTTGGTGTGGAATCAGAGCAGACTGATATGTACTTGTATACAGTACATCTTCCACCATTCTTTATCTTTACTGTGTCTCTGAGACGCACATCTTTTAACGTTTTCCAATTTGTATCAGTTCCGTAATTGTATTCCAAGCTCTCAGCGTTACCCGGATAACCCATGAATATTTTGTAGAAATTTGCATCTAAATCTGATATTTGAATACTCTTCACGATCTCGAAACTAAGCGACTTCGTCCCGATAGGACTGCCTTTCTTTCCGCTGACAACACCATTTTTTCCGGGAATAATCTTGAAAAAAAGCGATTGGTTGTCTTCTTTTTTAGTATTGTCATTGTGAAACCTCAGGAAATCAAATGTTTTGCCGTAATCTGGTGTAAAGGTTTCGAAGCGGGCCGTGATTATTCCTGTTACACTGCCTGATGCAATCCCTTCAACAATAAAATAGGTGTCTGCTATGCTAGAGTGATTCTCCCAGTCTGCGTTGGAATTGCTGTACAAAAATGAGCAAATATTCGGGCAACCTTTTACATTTTCAAACGACACAAAAAACAATACCAAAACAAGAAAACTCCTCATTCCAAAACTCTGCTCCCAAGAAACTAACGAGTTACTGAACAACACGATATATCATTACATGAGCAACATGTTTTCCGTATTTCGAGTTTCGCTTCCCTGTGACTGCCGCCGCCGCACACATTAATGGTTGTGGTGCAGTAAAATCCTACTCAAGTAACAAATAAAGGGACTTTTCTCAGCTCGCGTTATATATTACCATAGTTCATGCCCTTCTTCAGGTATCGATGACACAGCACTGGTGGGAACGTTGTAATGTCAACTATTAGAAAATGAAACATCTATAAAAAGCACAAGTTCCTTAGATAATTTACTGTGTTATATGTATTGTAACCAGATATGCAGTGTGTGTACTGTGTTTGATAAGCGTGACTGAATTAGTAAATTTAGTGGACAATCTCGTCGAAATGCTATGTGCAAGTTTCGTTAAGAATAAGAGAATGTATTGGAGCATCGAATTTCGATGATCGAAAACGGGTGCAAACTTGTCGAAGTTTTCCCTCTAATCGCTCAAACGGGAAAGCTCAAAGCTATGTATTAAGATTCAAACAAGAACTGTAGTAAGTCTACATTTGTTAATCTCTTGTGACCGAGAAATTTACCTGTGACGTGAGGTCCACAACACCTGGTAACACTAATCCTTTTGGATGGAGATCTCGCCATGTAACATCAAACATGTATGGTAACATCATGAGTTGCGAGTCAAACTGTAGATATAACAGAGACACAATTCACAAAGCTTTACCTACAGAATATGCACAACTTTTTAACTGCTAACCATGAGAACAAAGATAATTTCCCTGTGATTTTGCAATAAAACTTTCGGGAGAGTTATGTCCGTACAGTCGGGCCGGAATCGAGTACGTGCAGCTAGCTGGCCTAGCTTAGCAGATCGCAGCTAGACATAATGCGCGCAGAACACGTTAGTATGTGAAAACAGCGCGCGCGTATATTTGGTTGAAAACAGTATACTACCTTTCACGATTTGATAGGGCGATCGCGTGCTCCTGTAACGATACAACCTTCCACTACAGCTTCATGTCTCTGGATTATTAAAGACGCCCACTTTCCCAGTGAACGGGTATTGTGGAACATGATTATGTCACCAACATTGGCGAAACTAAACATGATGCTGCTCACTCTTCACGTTGCAAAATTTCGCGCCATAACAGAAATTTGCGGATTATCCTCGAGCTGTCCGATGGTAAGTCGGGTGGGTCTCCATCATTCCGAGAGTAATTCAGACGTAGAAGTGCAGAGAGTGGGAAGGGGAGGGGAGGGAGGATGGGGGGGGGGGGGGGGGTGGGTTACAAGGCAGTGCCCATGTGAAATTCCTACTCGCTGAACAATTTGGATAATTATAACTTGAACCTCAATACTCCGCGGTGACCAGGCGTCAAAGCTAAATGTATTGTATAGTTTTGATAACAAGCGAACAGTACACAGTACATATCATATTTGGGTGAAACATATTGTGAGTCAACACAAAGACTAAAGAAGGAAATACAACGTCATCACAGTTCACACACACACATTTATATTGTATTCACATTGTTTCTTTATTCGTAGTGCTAAGTAGGAATAATACCTCGCCACTTTAAAATCACAATAGTAGGTAATTAATTAATTTGAGTACAGGATATTTTTATTCATACCTGCAACAATTATTCCAGACATTATTAGCAAGATCATTCTAACATCACTTTCTGTCTATTCAGAAAATATATGTTATATTTAGCGGGGCAAATGGAATTATTTTTAACATTGGACACCAATATATCAGTTGTATACTATTAACTGTAGAGCATTACCTTAATGAATGGACATATTATGACAGTCCGACAGGTTACACATATCTATTGTCATGTAAGTAACACTTATTAGCTATTCTGATGAAATCAGAACAGTACACATGACCAGGAAGGTAGCAGGTTAAATTAACAATGCTTTTAGTTGCAATGAGTTGCTTCATTAATGTGCATCTGCAAATGAAGCTGATCACTGTTTTTATAGCGCAGTGTGAATTAAGCAAATATTTAATGCTGCTACCGCTTATATGTGGGACAAGAAATAAACATTTATAAAACGAATATTCTATATTCGAAGAGTTTATCTAATTAATTATTAGATCTAAAATGTACAAAACAAATTACAGAAATATGCATAATGTCAGCATCACACATTTGCTTCTTCACAATCAGTCAGAACATGATTATCCTCCGTTACCCTCTCCTCAAGTGGAGTTAATTCACATGTTTCCAGTACCACTGGCTCGGCACATATCTCCGTGGGCATCACAATCACACTGATCAGACGCCCGTTTTCAGTTCTAGGCGACCCTTTCCGCAGCTGAACTTGTCTGAGCCTATCTACATGTGCTAGCCGGCTCTTCTCCATAATCCTCATTGAGCTGTTCGTTATCTTCCGGGACGGCTCCCCACATTTAATCAAACGCAACACAAACTTCTTAAAAGAAGTGTTAGTAAAGTAATATATAAAGACATTGGCCCAGGAGTTTATGTAGAGCATGAAGTACGTCATGACAACAAACCCATCAGGGAGGATATGAGGATCACTCACTAAAAAGGGCATGAGATACTTGACAGTGTAGGGCATGTAGGAGATAAAGAACATGCACGTCAGACACACTATCATCAGTAGGTTGGAAACTCTGACATTTCCCCGTCCCTTCTTCTTGACAATGTAGAGTATAGCAGCGTTAGAAGCCAGCAATATACCACTAGGTGTCATACAGCAGACCAGAGAGCAGGTCAGATCTACCCCGCTCCAGTACACAGCTAGATCTAACCCGTGATGATAATCACAACTTCCTTTGTACAGATCCAGCTCCATGTATCTGGGGTCGTCTGTTTTTATCAGGTTTGATACGAAGTAAGCAGTAGGGTGCAGGAATGAGAACCCCCAGATAAAGATTGTTAGTTTGTAAGCAGTTCTGGTGGTGATGTCCAGTGTTTTTAGGGGGAACTGACATCTCATCCACTTGTTAACAGATATGAGGGTGATAAAGAAAATGGTGGCTATAGCTGGAGGATACTGCATGTAAGTGGTAAAGTTACAGATCCCCGGCCCTAACACCCACTTGTTACCATTCAGTAACGTTATTAAAGTGGGTAACACCCATATCAAGTTAAAATAGATATCAGACACAGCCAAGTTCTTGATAGTCAGCAGGGACAGTTTATCAATTCTGAAGGCACGAGAGTAGATCCCAACTAAGATGACAGTGTTGCCAATAAGAGCAGAAGCCAGGGACCATGATGTCCAGACGGTGAGGATGAAGAGTTCGGTTTCTGAGCGGGTGTAGTTGTTTTGGTGGGGTGGGGTGGGGCGGGAGGGTGTGCTGTACACGGAGTCGTTTAGCATTTCCTAGTAGGGTGGTTAGTTAGAACTACAAGTTCGACAACTGGTAAACTGGGTAAATCTCGATATCTCGATATATCATAATATTTATTTTAACGATTTGAACAAGCAACAGTTATGGCAACTCGCTCCTATCTAATTAAAATAGGAGTGATTTATTTAGATATTTTAATGAATTGATATCTTATTTTAACTGCCGCAGCAATTGCAGCCAATAATGCATTTCCTGGAAGTTTGCCTTAATGATTTTCTAATACATTTTTAGTAACAAAAGGGCAGATCAATTAAGCCTCGGCACCAAAAAGCCGACCACCAAAAGCTAATATGATATGTACTATTCAAAGCAAATTATCATGAAAAGATATCTTAAACAACTATAGCGACATATTACAGACGAGCTGAGGCAAGCAACTGGGTACTTAGATAAAGATATGGGTATAGGACGCTGCGGCGGAAGTCACTGCGGCGGTGGACGGTACAGCGGAGGACGGTACAGCGGAGGACGGTACAGCGGAGGACGGTACAGCGGTAGTTTCCAAAAAGGTTGGACGGTACGGCGGATCACATGACACCCACTTTACTTTGGACAGTACGGCGGTACTACTACTACTAGAAACTGTACCTATAAGATAGACCTAGCACTGCTAATATAACAAAATCGATTAGCTATAAAAAGTTATATTTTCCTCTTTGTTACTTCGAAATTAAATTAAATTAAAATTAAATTGGATAAAGTTTAACATATACATTGTGATTACTAAGAGCAGTTCTTGTTCCACTTTCTGGTTCGTATCAGATCACGTCCGGTCTGCACAACGGTGGTTAAGCGAGTGCACGATGAGCTTGTTACGGTGAGATCTCATATCACTGCGCCGAGATGCAATGGGTAATAACAAGGGCATAAAAAAACGTCACGAAGAAGAGAGGTTGCTCAGTGAAACGTAGATAATGATAGAGGCAAACAGTATATAAAGCGGATCAAAGTTGAGGAGATTATCTCATTAGCACTACCATCTCCAGTACTGCAACACTACAACTTGAGTACAACAGCTACAACGATGTTCGATGAAGATACGGTGAAGGTGGTCAGAGGGAGAACTGCTAAGAGTCAGAACCTTCTACACCGTGGTTTCCGCTACTCCAAAGATGGAAAGCCGACTCTGGATGGACGACAGGCTTAAAGGTGAGTGAAGAAGAACGACAGATGCAAGGGACGACTCTACACCCTCAACGGATCCCTGGTGTCAGTCACCCAGCCTACTTCCAGACGACATGGATCCAGGGACTCATCACCTCCTCTGGTACTGGACGAGCAAAGTTCCCTCCACTCTCCTGGAACGCTTACGATCGGACCCACTTCCACATGAACAGAACGAACAACTTCGTGGAGTCCTCGAACAAGAAGTTCTCCACTACCCTTGGACACTCCAACCCCATTACGAAGATGATGTCTTGACTTACCTGGATCTGCTCAGAAGTGTTATGTGAACTATTGATTGCTGTAACTTCTTGATAATGATTTGTGGGATTTTAACTTTTTGATTTTCAACAACTCAATATTCTCGATTTACATTGTCTGCAAAGCCCTGAATAAAAAAAATGAACAACTAAACTAACAAGAATTATACAAAAATAAAGAAAATAAAAAATAAAACTTATAATGCGAATCTAGAACAAAACTTAGAAACAAGTTGAATGTGTAAGTTCTGTCTTAGGTACAGTTTCTAGTAGTAGTAGTACCGCCGTACTGTCCAAAGTAAAGTGGGTGTCATGTGATCCGCCGTACCGTCCAACCTTTTTGGAAACTACCGCCGTACCGTCCTCCGCTGTACCGTCCTCCGCTGTACCGTCCACCGCCGCAGTGACTTCCGCCGCAGTGACCGGTTCCCAAAGATATTTTATGAGACGCAATGAGAACACTTATAATGCTGGCCAGGTATAATGTGACCACAAGTCACAACCCTATTTTACGAGGAGTATCTTGCATTAACAACAACACGCGAATTCAATCCAATTCTTAGTTTAATCCAATACAAGGTACAAGGTAGTAAGAAGTGAGATATCTTAACACCTGTAGTAGTAATAATATGGAGATTACTAGTATAGTTGTAGTAATAATATGGATATTTTAGTACGAGGTCTCGGGTAATTGCAATACTCACCACCCCTCAACACACGTGACCACCCCGCAACACACGTGACCACCCCGCAACACACGTGACCACCCCTCAACACACGTGACCACCCCTCAACACACGTGACCACCCCTCAACACACGTGACCACCCCTCAACACACGTGACCACCCCTCAACACACGTGACCACCCCTCAACACACGTGACCACCCCTCAACACACGTGACCACCCCTCAACACACGTGACCACCCCTCAACACACGTGACCACCCCTCAACACACGTGACCACCCCTCAACACACGTGACCACCCCGCAACACACGTGACCACCCCTCAACACACGTGACCACCCCTCACCACACGTGACCACCCCTCAACACACGTGACCACCCCTCACCACACGTAACCACCCCTCAACACACGTGACCACCCCTTCAACACACGTGGCGTGGGAGTACTGATTAGTGTCAACATGTCTCTACGACCTTCGCTTTTGGCGCAGTGAATCTCACGCTTCAGCGCAATGCGCAAACTCCTGCAGGAACTTCCCGACATTGTAAAGACCTGAGACCTCGACTAAAGTTAACCATTTTCTGCTGTTTATATTAGAGGAGCACACATTTAGAACTCCTTCCATACTCCTTCATGACTAAATTGACGATTTAGAGAATTTTACCTGTATAAGAAACGCTATAAAAATGGGCGTGGCCCATGACGACATTATCCGAAACACTAGAGTCAAAAAATTTTTTTGGTTGTTCCTGACCCTATAGAGCAACTAATAAGATAGAGTCTCTAATTATTTGAACAACTTTTGGTAAAATGAACCGGTCTAATGTATAATGTGAACAATAACAACCCCGATTTACCGCAGATTACCCCCAAACTCCGAGGTAAAACGGGGTTTAGTAACCAGTAGCTTGAAATAATGTATAATAGATAATAAAATATATTTTGATGTCTCTAAGAAACAAGGTACACAATATAATAATCATCAGGGCCAACAGCGAAATAATCTTATAGCGCATGTAATTAGGATGATAAAGAAACTAAGACTCTTGAAATTAATAACACCGGTGGACTGCGGAGCAATTTTATACAGCGTAAATAAAACCAAGGAAGGAGAATAAGTTTCGAGTGTAAATTACCAAAATTATCAAAATTATACCAAGCTGACTGGCTGACTGCAGAAAGTGCCTTCTATCACTATTACCAACGTTTACATCACAATACAATGATAGAAATATAATATTGCTGACTCATTTACCCTCATTAGCTGTTCACTGCTTTGTTCTAATACCGCTTAGAGCTACAACTTTCAACAACTTTTACCAGTTAACTAGATTTAGATCCTTAGTGTTCAGATAACAATGTTTACAGAGCAAACTCTAAATATTTGCGATGATATTTTAATTGGTCGCGTGAAGATTATCTGATTCCCACGTACAAGTTGGAACTAAGCTGAGGGGTAGTCACTAGTATACCACTCATCAGAGGTCCATACTATTATTATACTGGAGCTAATAGGGCAAACTCAAGACAAAAGGAGATTGGGGAGCTGAACATGACGGTGGTGATCAAGCGGTTATATAGCATTTAACAATTGCAGTTCCTGAACAAAACAATATCAGTTATATCATCAAATTTGTAATCAACTTGTGAGGTATCTAGTATGAAATTGCTCCGATCTACTGAAACCCTGGCAATATAATTCATCTACTGGCGAGTGCTGCTTTCTCAAATGGGTACTACCTAGCAATTAATCGTGGATTTCTCGGAAAGGGAGCAAATACCTGAACAGTGCTCGGCCCGTGAAACTCGACTGAATTCTGTTCAACAATTTGATTCAATAAGATCAAAAAACACTTTTTTCCAATCTTAACTTAATTGTCTTTCCTCTCTAATGCTATTATCTACTACGTTTTTTCAGCGACAAAATGGTGCATCACACCCCATAACTATCAGAGGAGTGAGATCAATTTTTGAGACATTTAAAAATCTATAATATTATTAACCCAGAGTTGAATTTTATTTCGTTGTCATATTCATTCACTAAGATGCTACCCAGCACACTAAAATGTTGTTAATGTTAGTTTCTAAACTCACACACTAACACTAGCTAACATTACCCACTAAATCCTGTGTACTGGTTACACACCTAATAACTAATGATACAAGTCTCGTGATGATGAGCAGAAATCAAGCTCTTCACAGTCACTAATTCTCGTTCAGTTTCTCATACAATTCACAGTGACGGGAGTGTGGTAATGTGATTTGTGCCCAGGAGAGATGATGTGAAATTGTGGGTATTAAGTATTGTATAGTGGGGTAATGGTGGTAGTAATGTCATGGTAGTATGGTCAGTAAATGGAGCATTGTGCTTTACTGGGCGAGAGTTAGACATTTCACTCAATTCAATGACATTCAAATATTTTAAGGTAAAAGTAGGGAGACAAGGCTAAATGGATCAGCATTACTTACATTACATTGCATTGTAACATGTGTAATGGTGATCAAGTAATGGTTGAAATGAGTTTACTGAAATGAGATATTTTTAAAGGATGGCATTAGAGGGCACACCTACAATTTAACATCGCATATCAAACCACAATGACTAATACTTCAAACTTGTCACAAAGCGGACACTAAATCTCATAGACAAATTCAAAATATTAAAGCCCATAAATATGCAAAGTGGTTCGATAAGGGTCAAAATGTTATCCAAAATATGTATTAAAGTTCAGAAAAAGTGACATTTCTCTCCAACAAAATAAAATACGAAAATGAAACCAATTTCGAATACCAGTACAAACGTATTTTGGTAAAAACTAATTCGCACCTCAAAGGTTCAGTCAAACAAGCGCCTAA